CTACTTTAAAAAACTATTTATGGTTGCTCATCAGTAATTCTTATCTCCAAAAATAAAGCATTCTATTTTCTTGTGTAAAATGTACCAAAACGTATAATAAATGTACCTTTATTTCTAGGTGAAAAGATGGGTACTATACGCATAGGTTTTTCTTTTTTCATGACTGGCGGTCTCAGGAAAGTGGTGGCAGAAGGGGCTGCTGCACAGGGTCCCAGTTCTTTGGAGGCTGGGGACATGGATTTGGAATGAGATGGGACCATCTGTGTCCCAGGCGCCGCCGTCAGGTGGAGTAGCCGGGTCAGAGAGCACAAGAGAAGAGAAGAGGTGAATAGATAGGGCAGGAAAAGGGGCCCGGCATGATCCGGATGGCGGTGCAGAAGCAGAGGCTGTGGGCATCAGGAGGAGAGCTGGGGATAAAGTACTGGGTCATCCGTGTGACTGCAGACACCAGCCAGGATGGTGTCAAGAATTCAAGAATAAGGTGGAGAGAAGGGACAGTTTGGGAGCTGCCATCTTCCATGAGGACAGGAGGGTTGGAATGACAGTGAATGACAGAGGAAAGAGGAAAAAGGGGGACCATGGAGTCCAGAGACTCAGCCTATGGTGGGCATCCCAGAGGGGATGTGAGTTTGAAGAAAGGAGAGGGAACGGTGTGGAAGGGACAAGGAGATGAGGAGGGCAGGGACAGGTGGGGCAGGGCGCAGGATGCAGGTTCTACTGGGGCAGGAAGGGAGGCGAAGGCTGGCGGATCATAGAGTACCAGCTCCTGGTGCCGCCGCCGGCATCCTAGGTGGCACCGTGGCCAGTTGGAAAGGGTGGGAGGAGAGGACAAGAGTCTGGGTGCGATGACAGGCCAGGAGGCTTCTCAGGAGGCCGAGGCGAGCAGGGGTATGTGCTGTGCCAGAAGGCGGCCCTGGGACCAGCCCCCATCAGTCCCTGTCCCTGGCTTACTGTCCTCCCAGCACTCAGCATGACCTGCTGTCTTAAAATCTGCTTGTATGATGTCTGTCTGCTTCACAGGGCAAAACTCCAGGGGTCGGGCCATGACCTGTTCACTGCCTTCATCCCCGACACCTGCGCCAGTGCCAGGCACAGAGCAGGTGCTCAGTAAACTGTACTGTGGGCAGTTCGAGATGAGAGGTGTGGGGCTCAGGGGCAAACCACAACCAGCACTTGGGGGGCAGTGGTCCCAAGGGGAAGTGCTGGGAAGACCTCAGGGGCCCCATCTCCCTTGGGGCTGGAGTCTGGAGGAGCTGGGCCCTTTCCTGCCCTTGCACCTTGAAGGCCCTTTCTTCTGTTAACCAGGCTTACTCTGCAGCACCACAGCTCCCCGGGCCCTGCCCTTCGGTTGTCACCACCGCCTCTGCACACCCCACCGGCCCCGGGCTGCTTTCTCTGCCTCCCGATAGGTAGTGCAGGGTGCAGAGTCAGCATCCGATGGTGGTTTAAGGAATGAACAAATGAGAATTTCCGCAGGACCCAAGAGTTTTGTTCCATTTTGCTCTGCATCTTGTCTTTAAAGGGAGGATTCATTCATCTTGTTAAAAAATGTGGCAGGTGATCAGAACACTGGACAATATATTCGAATGTCAGCTCCAAGTCATGCTGCAGAGCAGAACTACCCTTACCTCACATGCAGCCTGGTGCAAATACAATACACCATGCAATGTGTCAGGGTCATATAGCAAGTTCATCAGAGTGAGAATTGCGTGACTGATGTCAGTGACATCCTCAAGTTTCTGCAAATGATCCTGCGTCCGTGGCACTACCATCAGGCGGTCCACCAGCAGTAATCCATGTCTACGTTTCATTGTGGAGAAATGAATTCTATCTCACTTTTTAAATTATTATTATTATTATTTGAGATGGAGTTTCAATCTTGTTGCCCAGGCTGAAGTGCAATGGCACAATCTTGGTTCACTGCAACCTCTGCCCCCCGGGCTCAAGAGATTCTCTTGCCTCAGCCTCCTGAGTAGCTGGGATTACAGGCACCCACCACCACACCTGGCTAATTTTTTGTATTTTTTTTTTTAGAAGAGATGGAGTTTTGCCATGATGGCCAGGCTGGTCTCAAACTCCTGATCTCAAGTGATCCACCCACCTCAGCCTCCCAAAATACTGAGATTACAGGCATGAGCCACTGTACCCAGCCTCTATCTCACTTTTTAACATGCTACAATTTAATACCACCTGACATGCTGTACATAGGAATCAGGATAGATTTGGGATAAATGAGTCTTAATGAAAGGATACATTCTCTCCCTCTAAAGTCTAAAGAAACCTGAGCCTCAGCCCACATGGGTGGGAGCCACAGGAGAGGTCGGCTCCCTTCTGAGGTGCTGCCTGCTTTCGCTGATGGCCTTTGATCTGCAGCTCCACTAACGCACACCCTGAATACCATCAGGTGTGCCTAAACCTTCCGCCAAACA